AAAAAAAAAAACGAAAAATGAAAAAATCAACATTCTTCTCGTGAAAATCTTGAAACCTTGATTTTCTAATTTTCTCTCTCCTCTTTTTGAGAAAAACTTACGTGAGATGATCTCACCGTCTTACGTGGCACGACCACCGAATGGGAAGCCATCACCTCATCGGGTGGCCCACCCACACCCAATGAGGTGAGGCTCCTTCCGGACTTTATTTTTTCCCTCTTTCCATCTCAAGTTCCAAGGTTGCCTCACCTCATTAGGTGAGGGTTACCACCCGATGAGAAAGTGGTTCCCTATTCGACGGTCACACTACGGAAAACTTGTGATTAATATCAATTATATATACCAAGAGGCCCTCTTTTTGCGATCTAACCAAGCTCCATTTATAGGGGAGGAGGAATTTTAGAAGTTGTGCTTCGGAAAGAGTCAAAAAGAATTAAGAAAACTTAAAAAAATCATAAAAACAGCACAAAATCAATAAAGCGGCCGAACTGAAAATCTTAGAAGATACGGCTTCATGCAAACCACAATCATGGAGTATTATGCATACAGCACATACCCAAAATCACGCTACTTTTAAGTATCCCACATTATCACAAAATAGTATAATGATAAACGACAAATAAAACAGGCCACAAGAATAAATTCCTGGCATTCTTCTTGCCTAGACAATAGCACATAATTTCCTAATGAAGCCAAACTAAATGAAACTCTGATGCTGGTTTTACTCCGCCTTCAATGATTTTGCAATGTCAATAACAAACCGGTATTTAACATCAGATTTCGCTAGGCGGTCCATCGCAGTATTGATATAATCAATGGGAATGATCTCCACATCTGGTAATATGTTGTGTTTTGCTGCAAAATCAATCATCTCTTGGGTCTCTTTCATACCTCCTACTCCACTGCCAGCTATTATCTTTCTACCTGTAGTCCCCATTGTGGATGTTTAGCAATTTTAAGACCAGACTGAACCAGGTGGTTAGACCTTAGAAGCTGGGAACTGTTCCAAAATCCTGGTTCTGTTCTAGGGTAAAAACAGGAAACTGAGAAACTACCACCCCTTAAATTTTGCTTTTATTTTACCAACAGTTCAACCTTTGAACCCTGATCTTTTGCCTTTTTATGGTCAGACACCCGGGCTGGTTTTTCAAACATTGATGACTGTTGAGCCATTATTTTTTAACAAAAGAGACCCCCTAGTTTTCTTTAACTTGAACTAACAAGAGAGTATTTATTTTAAAAATTATTTCTCATAAAAGAACTTTCTGAGCTTATCCAAACATGCTGTTAAAGACCTTAGGACCAAGAGAATGAGAAAAATCAGTTGACTTGCTTACCTGAAATCAAGGGAAACACGGGCAACTCGAGTGGCTGTGCTGGAGCACCAACCAGTACCATCTTTCCATGAGGCTTCAACAAACTAATCAAGGCTAAAAGGGGGTGAGTAGCAGATACAGTATCGATGATCCCATCCAATGTCCCAGCTGCAACCTGAACAGAAACAATTGT